ATCCCCCTCCCCTGCGGCCTTCTTTCGGATTCAGATTTGGTTTGGTTTGGTTTTTAGTACTCGGTTTATCCTCTGTTGGCTCCTGTCTCACCTCTCTTTGATCTGTCTTTCCAGTGGTTACTGTGGGATTTCAGTATGCATGTGTGGTTTACTGAGTGATGGTTGATTGGCTGCATGGTGTTGGGCTAAGAACAAGAAGAATACCCACGTGCCTGGTCAGGGTAACAACATGGGTCATCCTCTGAGAGGGGAACTTTGCAGGAAGCTTAGGGTGGGTGTGTGGCGGGGTGGGTAATGAGGGAGCTTTGGACAGATTGCATTTAAAGTGCTTGAAGGTATCTAAGTGAAGGTGACTGTTCCATCCATGTGCCAGGGTGGAGCTGGCAGGTGGGGGTCGTTGCCATGGGGATGGTGGTCGAATCAGTAGGGGATGAGCCTGCTTGTTGAGAGTGTGCAACAGGAGAAGGAGAGGTCGGGATTGAGGCCTGAGGGACCCAACATCGTAGGGACCAAATGGAGGGCAGTAGGGTATGTGAGGAGAGGCCAAAGAGGGAGGAGAAAGCAAGGTGGGGGTGCAGGGTTGGGGCCCAGGGAAGGGGTGGCTTGGAGGTTGCCTCTGGACGCTGGTGCAGGAGGGTTTCAGTATGTGGGCAGGGTGTGAGGAGGCTTCAGTCATGTTTAATTCCTGTGTGGTTTTTAACCTGTGTGGTAAGCTGCTGTCGTGGGTTCCTTTACATACATAAGTAGTGCCTGACTTCCTTCTACTGGTTTTTGTTTGTTTTACAACTTACCCTGATAACACCTACTGCATACAATGCGGTTATTTGCTGATGTTGTTCTCATGCCAACCCTGAAAGACAAATGAAGATCACATTTATAAAGATACTGATAATAAAAGGCAGTAATAATGAAAACTTAAAAAAAAAAAAAGAGGTATTCCACTTACATGAGAATGGCCTTATGCCAGAGTTGTCAGAACAGAGCCCTCATAAGTTGGGGCTGCCTGCGTCCAACATTCTACTAAAATAGCAATAGAGAAAAATAGCTAAGGGCCAGTCAGCCCTTCCAAACGCAGCTGCACATGCCACAAGATGGCGTTTCTCAGCTGAGCCCTGGGGCATGGTGACGTGGGGTTGAAGGGAGAGATGTTGCGTGGTCTGACCATGTAGGATTCATGTGACAGTGGCTGAGCCCTTGGGGTGTCAGCAAATGGACACTGTGAGTGAGGAGAACTCTTCCAGGAGACTTCGTGGGACCTGAGTCATCGTCCAGTCCCTTAGTAGTCATGGAAGCTAAGGAGGCAGGCGGTTGGCTGAACCCAGGCTCTGGGCTTTCCAGATGGTGAAGGGCAGGCAGGACCAGGGGAGGCCAGACCATCGGCAGGACCGCTGACCGTGCTGGCTTCCGTGCTTGGCACGTTCTGGAATCTGTGCTCTTTGAGCCTCCTCACACAGCAGGGCAGGTGCAGCTCCACCTCCTCCAGGCACTCTCACCTGAAACACAGTCCTGGCTGCTAGACGGAGTTTGGTTTTCCACAACTATGCAGTATGACCCGCCTATTCATTTAATGGTGACATCCTGAAACTAAAACCCCAAGACCCAAGTGTGCCAAACAGGCTGTCACCAAATTGCAGAGAAGGAGGTAGCCATCAGCTCAATGTCAGCCACAGAGGGGCTGCTCAGCAAAGGTGTGTTTGAGGAAATGAAAAAATTGCAAATGGCTGGATGAGCGGGTAGAGGGATGGATAGGTGGGTGGATGGGTGGATGGGTGGATGGGTGGATGGATGAAGGCTGATAGTTTGAAACCATGAGCCACTCCATGGGAGAAAGATGTGGCAATCTGATTCTGTAATTATTTACAGTCTTGGAAAACCTATAGGGCAATCTACTCTATCCTATAGGGTCACTATGGATCAAAATCAACTCAATGGCATTGAGTTTCTGGTTTGATGGGTGAGTGGGTGTGGTTATGGGCAGACATGCATGTGTGCATGTTTGTGTGTCCATTCACAGAGAATTGTGGAAAAGAGACCTTGGGGTCTCTTCAGATTTAAAAGTGAGCCAGGACCCAGTGAAAATCATGAATCCTTATTCATGCCTTCTCGTATTGACTTTTGCCTGGACTCTAACCCTAACCCTAACCCTAACTCTCGTATTGACCTTTGCCTGGACTCTAACCCTAACCCTAACCTTAACCCTAACACTAACCCTAACCCTAACCCTTATTCATGCCTTCACGTATTGACCTTTGCCTGGACTCTAACCCTAACCTGAACCCGAACCCAAACCTGAACCCGAATCCTTATTCATGCCTTCTTGTATTGACCCTAACCCTAACCCTAACCCTTATTCATGCCGTCTCATATTGACCTTTGCCTGTACTCTAACCCTAACCCTAACCCTAACTCAGTCTTAACCCTAGCCCTAATCCTAAAACAGTCCTAACCATACCCTAATCCTAACCCTAACCAATTCCTAACTCTAACTTTAACCCAAATGTGGTCCTAACTGTGAGTCTCACCCTAACTTAATCTTCCCTAACCCTAAGCCTAATTCAGTCCTCACCCTAATCCTGACTCTACCTCTACAGGGTCTCATTTCCTCCTCCAGGCCCCTTCACCACCACCCCCGGGCCCAGTCACTCACACACTGTCCATCCTGCCACCTCCTCCTCATCCCCTCCACAGCCCTCACCCTCCTTAACCCTCACGGTCAGGCCTGCTCCACTGCCCCGCCCTTAGCCCCAGGTCAGTTGTCCTGAACCTTGGGCCTGGAGTCCCAGCTCTGAAAGCCTTTCTCTTAGAAGACCCTGGGCTGGATGTTGCAGGCCTTCCTGCTGATCCTGGGAGATGTGAGCCGGCCCTGCCCCTCCCGGGCCTGGAATCCCCCAAGCAGCATGAGGTAGGACTGGTCCCACGTCTGAGAAGACCAGCCACGACAGAGAGCCATATAAGCAGGTTGCTGCTGATTCCCACTTGAATGGGCTTGTTTCCCGGATGTTGGGGGGCTCCTGGCCAGTGCCCTTCTTCCTGCTGGGGCTCCCTAGCTGTCTGGTAGACCGAGCAGGAGTGCCCTGGGTGCCCCACCTCTGTCCGCTTGGCTCAAACTCGCATGGGCAGCCTCTCCACCCAAAGGCCCCTTGCATAGTCAGCCATTGCTTGGCAGAAGTGTGTGTGTCTATGTGTGTACATGTATGCACATGCATGTTCTGTGCATGTTTTGCATGTGCGCATGCATATGCACACGTGTCTACATGTGTACAGTGTATACTGTGTTGTGCACATGCATCTGTGTGCATGTATGTGTGTATGTATCTGTGCGCACACACGGGCATGTGTGTGCACATGTGCTTGTATGTGCACGTATCTGTACATGTGTACATGTGTGCACGCACGAACATGGTTATGTGTGTACATGTGTCTATGTGTGTGTGTATGCATGCCTATGCATGTGTACATGTGTACATGGGCATGTGTGCATGCATGTGTGTGTGTGCATGGTGCATTGAGTGTGTGTGTGTATGTCTGGAAGGTGTTTTGCACCAGCCACCCAGACCAGTGAAGCCCCTGTGAGTCCTGGGCTCTGTCAGGTGGCCTCCTGCCTCCTGCCTAGGCCACCACATCCCTGCTCTGTGACAGAAGTCCTCCCCCAGATGCCTGTCGTGTGGCTTCCTTCATCCGTCCGACTCTCCTGCCTTCTGACTCTGGGGGAGACCTCATCACTTCAGGCCTACCGAGTAGCCCCCCATGTCCCCCCACTACTCCAGAGTACAAATAAGCCCCAAACAAACATACTTCCTACTTTCTAGGGGTCTGTGTGGGGTGGGGGGCAGATGGCCACCTTCGATTTGATTCTTTTAGAACGGAATTTTCAACAGATACAAACAGGCAGAACAGCACCATAGAGTCCAGCTCAAGCCCTCATCAGCTTGTGACATTTTCCTGCCCTCCACTCCCCACCTGGAAGACTGGGACGTGCCACACAGCATGTCATGGCCACACATTTCAGTAGAAACGATAAGGTGGTGGTCACTGTGTGGCCACCACACTATTGGCGGGTGGGCACGGGTTCAACTTCGTCAGACTCGCCACCGTTCTTTGCACATCCTCTCCAGGAGGGCATGCAAGAGGCCTTTGTTAGGCAGTTGTCGACCTTGAGTCACTCCCAGGCTGTTGCCCTTGCTACAGTTGCCACCGTTCTGCATGTCTGTCTTTGGACTGGAGTCCTAGAAGTGGCTAGACGCACTCTGATCTTTCGAGGTGGGGCCTGGTCCCCTCCCTAGAGTCTGTGCTATTTTTCACGCCTGCAAGCAACACTGAGGTGCCTTCTGCCACATGGCGGTGGGCAAACTCTTGGTTCCTGCTGAGCTGATGGGGGAGAAGCGGCACTGTCTCTGGGTGTGCCGGCAACTTTCTGAGAACCGTGTGCCAGCAACCTTTCTGAGAACCATGTGCACATTGGGCATCGGCTGGCGCCTTGCCCAGCCTCCAGAGGAAGTGTCTGAGAGCTAGGCCCTGGGAGTGGCCAGCGGGCAGACATGAGAACACTCAAGCAGTGTCTCTAACGGGCTCAAGGACCATGTGGCTCAGCATTCCAGGGTGCTGGTTCACCACAGCACTTCCTGGGCCTGCGGCAGACACACTGCCTCAAGCCAGCCACAGTGGACACCCTTGGCTCCAGGAGACATCTCCAGTTGCCACTGAGTCAGCTCTGAATCACGGCAACGCCACGTGTGTCGGGAAGAACCAGGATCCACAGGGCTCCAAGGGCTGATTTTTCAAAGGGGATCACGGCCTTTCTGTGGAGGGACCTCTACGTTGACTCGAACCTGCAGCCTCCGGTCAGCAGTCACCTCACTAAGAGGTTGGCGGTCCGAGTCCACCCAGTGCCTTCTCGAAGGAAGCCGCCCCCTCCCCTGCCCCATCTCCAGCTGCTGGGTGTTGGCCCATCAGAGCAGGGGTGGGGTGAGCCCAAGCACACTCAGCTCTCTGTCTTTCAGCCAGATTCCTTCAGCTTGAAGTCATCAGCAGAGAGCAGGGCCTCGAGGGTCCTGTCCTGGAGTCCCAGGACTGGGAGCCCCTGGGGGCTCTTGACCACCTGGAAGAGGGGCGCTCTGGGAAGGAGGGCAGGTTGAAGGACCCAGTGGGGCAGGGCCTCCTTTTGCTGGGGGACTGTGGAGGAGAGCAGTGTCCCCGGAGCGGGCCTGGCATGCGGCCAGCACCAGCTTCCAGTCAGAGAAAGCCACAGGAGAAAAGGAAGAAGTCCCCTGAGGAGCAGCCAGGCATCAAAAAGGGTAGAAGCTCCGAGAGGCTGGAGCGGCATCTGAGGCTCAGGCCGCTGCTGGGCGGGGTCCTACTGAGTCTTCTCAAAGCAGCAGAGTTGGGAGAAGGGCAGGGCCTAGGGAAACCTGGTGCGGAGGAGGGGACAGGCGCTGTCCAGGGTGAGTGACCGTCCCGTGCTGGCCAAGGGGCTGGGGGTCTGGCAGGGTGGGCATGGGAGGGGAGGGCAGGCACGGTGGTCACGGAGGCCTCACTCACAGATGGGAACCAGACACCTGGGTGTGTGTGTGGGGGGGAGTCCCTCCCGCTCCACCCCCTCCCCACATGTGACAGGGTTTTTGAGTCCAGATTCCAGGATGTCACAGCTGGGAGGGTGGTGGGGTCAGCTCCCCTCAGCCCCCTCAGCCCCTCCTCAAGAGCTCCTCAAGGCACCGTCAGGGCCCCTCAGGACCCCTTAGCATCTTCTCACATCCCTCAAGAGCCCTGTTGGGGCACCAGTGTCCCCTGATACCCCAGTGTTCCTTGGTCCTCCCTGTCCCTGGTCCCCCCAGTGCCTCTGGTCCCCCTGGTGTCCCCTGGCCCCCCAGTGTCCCCTGCCCCCCACTGTTCCTTGCCCCCCCCAGTGTCCCCTGCCCCCCCCCCGGTGTCCCCTGGCCCCCCCAGTGTCCCCTGGCCCCCCAGTGGCAGCATCTCCGTCCTGCTGGCAACCCCTCTGGCTCCGCCACAGCTCCTCGTAGGGCTGGCACTGGGCAGAAGTATGGCAGGGCTGCGGTCTTCTCTGAGCTCCCAGGGAGGCCAGGCCACACAGGAGGCGCCTCGCAGGGCTTGGGGCAAATGTCCTGGAGATTGGGCCCTGTCTCCGAGGGCTTGGGGGGCTGACAGAGGGATGCTGGGGAGTACACACTGAGGAGGAGCACGCACTACGGGCCGTCAGCTCTGCTCCAAGGGGGTCAGCAGTGAACGAGTGGGGCTGAGGGCTGGGCCCTGGGCCCACCGATCCTGGGGCTCCTGGAAGCCATGTTCCGGCCCCCCGGCCACCATCCGTCGAGCCCTCAGTGTGCACTTCCCAGTCACAGATGCTGAGGTCCCAGAGCCTGGGACACACGTCCAGAGCACTGGCCACCCTACCAGAGAGGGTGGCGGACTCCAGTGCCCAGGCCTCTCCAGCCTCCTAGAAACGGGCAGGGGAGCGAGCACAGGCAGGTCTCGGCTCCTCGGCCCATCAGGCTCTGGGATGAGCCAGTGTGGGTGACCAACCGGGCTGGGCTGGCGGCCGAAGCCCTGGGCAGGCAGATGTGGTGGCCTCCACGTACTCCCTGCAGTTCGAGCCCTTCTCTGGCCCTTTTTGTATTTCACTGACATGGCCATTTTTAATGGGAGATGTCAGCATATGTTGATGCCCAGAGGGTGGGCAGTGGGACCACGCCTCCTGCCCCTTGGCCTCCTCCCTGTTGCCTGTCCTCACCTACATCCACCCACTCGGCCTGGTTTACTTGATGGCTGAATGGGTGAGTGAGTGGGATCTCAGAGCCCCCAAGGCAGGGGGATAGGCACCAAGGAACCCCATAACTGGTAACTGTAAGGGGTGCAGAGCTGTGAGGCCTACGGCTGTGGTGGTCTTGGAGGATCGTGTGGGGAAGGGAAGGGAGGTGCAGCTCAAGAGAGTACAGGCTTCACCAGACAGGTGGTGGCCAGGAGGCAGATAAGCCCCCAGCCCAGGGCCCGTCTCCTAGGAGACTCTGCCCCTCCACCCCCGCCCAGGCATTCCTGTTCCTCTAGGTGCTAGAGACACTGGCTGCTGCCCACCCAGGCCCCTGTGCCCCACACCCTGGTGGAGGGAGGCCCTGGCCCAGTCCCTTCTGGCTGCCATCACCCTGAGGGGTGACACCTGGGGCCCATGCAGACAAGGGAAATCTCTCACACCAGCAAACAGGCTGGGGTGGGGCTGAGCCAGGGCCCTGCCACAGGCCACCCCAGCTGCCCTGCACAAATCTGTGCCCGAGGGGACACTTCACTGAGCCAGCCTGCCTCTGCATCCCACAGCACACCGCCCACCACCTCGTCCAACCTGCCTTTGCCCACTGCCACACTCGTTTCTTTGTTTTTATAAATGTTATAAACACTGTGTCGAAGCACACATGACATAAAATTCACTGTTAGTGGCGTGCCGTGGAGTCAGGTGCAACCAGCACCGCCGTCAGAAGAAAGGGTGAAGACCCACAGCCAAGTCACTGCCACTACCCCCAGCCCCTGAGCAGCTCACCGGCTTCCATGACTCATCTCTGACTCACGGCTGCTCCGTGTGTGTCAGAACCACTGGGCCCCATTGGGCTATCTTTTCTTTCT